TGACTTATGTTTTTGTAGCAAGTCTGAGGACCGAGCTTCTTTTAGCCTTGGCATTGATTATTAATACACCGTTTTCTTGATGAGCAAACACGATGTTGTTAACAGCAAGATATATTTAATACAATGCTCGATAATGTTTCAGCGATTTTACTTTCCTCATAGACTGAAGTGGTCGAATTCACAAGCAGAGCATTCGGCCAAAAATTATCATAACCTCAGCGGAGAAAATTTTACACATAAATGATTATTCGCATAGTGAGCAGCTGCTCTTAAACACAGTTTTTGTTGTTCTCAAGTTCTCTAGTTATTATTGGAGACCAGTCTATAGCCATGAGTAGAGCAGGCTATACTTCCGACACTCATGAGGTCTTGCTATGGTCTATAGAGGGCATCATTGTTTTTTATAATTTAGTAAGATGCCATTTTTGTTATTACCAAATCTGCACTAATAGTTTTGTTTCAACTGAATATGGGAGCGATGTTAATTTCAGTTCTAGATAATGTAGTCGATTTCAGAAGTACATCGAATGTGTATTATTTAGACATCAGTAACCATTTCGATTTTCTATTATTATTATTATCCACTTTCTCCACTTGAACTGCTTAATTGACATTTGTATTCAGTAAATCGTATGCTACAGTTTCGAGCGTGGATTTGTCTTTGGCCAAGCAGTGTCTGGTGTTCATAGCGATTGGAAACTTTGATAGTAGAGTTATTCAGTACAGTTATTCTATAGCTACAGTCTGTTTTCTCGTCACCATGTCTCTTCGGAGGAAACATCTAAATGAAGCATTCTCACTTTTCATATAGGGTTCATATTTCGACTGACAACCCAACTAGCTGTTGCATTCTGACCGGTAAACAGAAATTTAATTGTTGCTGTGGCGTACTTGTCTCTGGTGTACGGTAATCGCGTCAGTGATAAGAGTGTGGAAGAGATGTACATCATTGATAGCAAAATGAAACTAGAGGGCTAGTAATGAGATGAGGTATAACATGGATCATGTGATAGTATTCGATTCCTCTTATAGAATTGTCGACTCATTAAATCCGACTTATTTTCATTCCCTGGTAGAATAAGCGACAAAGTTTTCAGGCTTGAGTTAATGTCGTTGTAGTCATAACTCGAATATTTGGTTAAGTGCTACTTGTTTCGCTACGTCTGTATCGGATTTTCCCACAAGCTGTTTTTTTTCTTTTCGAGGGCTTCATGATGTGTAAAATTAGATTATTACATCAAAAAGAGTTTTATTATGTGACGTATTCCTAGTATGCTCTAAGTAAATAAAAGTCGAGTATTTTACTCTGTCTTCGATTAGGTTCCAGTGAAGGAACGTTGTTATTATTAGTTCGTTGAACTAATATCTTCGTTACATTACAGGTCGTGGAATTCCTGCGTACACTGTTCCGCAGCTACTCCGGACCACAACCAAGAACAAGCCAGTTCCAGTTCGATAAGAACGCCGAACCACCTTGGGATCCCGATCCACGTTGCTGAGGTGAGCTGTAGTTACTCACACATGTTAGAAGTTGGTAGTAACTACTAATAGAATGCTTGAGCCGGCAAAAATTTCCTTGTTTGCTGTAGTCGGCACCTGGGTCCATTATTTTCTTCATTTTATATAGAAGTTGTATATTGTGATTACTATTGGTACTTCGTCCATTCTATTCGATTGTTCGCATCCACTGTCCACGGTGTTCCGATTTGCGTGTGGGTTCGGCTGTTGATTGAGTATATTTGGTTTCCCTCATAAAAGTTGCTAAATTTTGTTTTTTTTTTTTACTTTTTTTTTTGTAACTAAATTCCTGGGTTTTGTGGGTCTCAAGGAGTTTCCAAGATAAATCAAGTACCACTATCTCCGTTTGGGTAAAAGGCTTTTTTAGCCTATTTATTAGTCATATGGATTGTATTGCTTTACGTCGTACAACATATATGTATGTAATTTATGAAAACTTTTTGTCAACATAAGTATAATTTTGTGACAACGTCTAGTATTTCCGTCATTGGTGACAAGTAGTACTGAATGCTCACTGTTTTCAGAGTTCACCGACTAAAACATGACTTTAAGGCCACTTTTTACTTTCACGGTAGATTTGACACGGTAATGAGCATGCTGATCGGTTTTGACGCATGCATGGCTGAAATTTATGGCGTTTCCGCTCATTCTAACTTAGTGCCAACATTTCTCAATTTATAGTGAACTTTATCAGTTGTAACAGTAATCATTAGAATCCACAGATCTTTGCCTCTAAAATGGTTTTTTCTTTGTTTACGGCAATTAAACTCCTGTTTTGTGAGGCTATAAATCCTTTCTTCGTGTTTTTTTAATGTTGGAGACTCCAATTTTGAAAATTGAATCGAACAATTAACGTTACATAGAATGTCCCTCAAAACATCCTTAATTTTTGTGACTACTGTGCCCGCATTAAGGATTTAAAAAAGTGCCAATTTCGTCTCCTTTCGTCCCCGTTTTCGTGCATTTTTGAATAAGCGAATTTAAAGTGAAAATAACGTTTCAGAAAATATTTTTTACGCTTGGGGTAAGTCCAAAGCATCTTCGACTAGCTTGGCAAGTCTTTGGTTTCTTAACTCTTTTATTTACTGCCTTTTTCTTCTTAATGGCAGGGTATGTTGTGAAATATAACTCGTATGAAATGCTGAGATATTTGCAAAACTCCGGACCACAGGTGTATGCAGTGGGGAACGAACACGCGCTGTTGTCCTTACCGGGGAGCAGCGCACTTCACCACTACACCATCCGGGCCTTTGGTTTCTCTGTTGCACACGTTATAAAAAGATGATCGGCAGGTGTCGAACAACCAGTTTCGTTGAGAATGTGTTAAGTAATGTTATTCAATTCATGGTCATCCTCATAGTAAGACGCTTTGATTCAACGGTTCCAAAAACGCTGCGCTTCGTTTTCAGGGTTTTCGTGAAATCCCACCACTTGGTTGGAATACGTTTTTTTGCTCGTTTGTTATCCTATAAAATAACTATGTTGATTTCTGGGCTATGGGAGAAATCTTTGTTGGCGGCAATACTGATTCTCGATTTTTGTGTGAGCATTTCTATAGTCCTTCACTCATTGTTTGTAATCTTTAATCAAGCGTCTCAAATAACAGAGAACCATTGAAAAAGTGTTCGAATACGTCTTCGACAAGTAGTTTTCTTTCCATTCCAAGAACTTCCTATAAGTAATGTGACCGCAGCAAAAGCCTCGAAAAGCCATGCATGCTTTCTAGTCGAAATTCATTCGTGAAGATTAACGTCATTCACACGATATTTCAATTGTAATCAGAGGATTATTAGTTGTTTCAGATAGCCAATTATACGCTATTTAAGTTTTCGAAATTTTCATGAAAGCTTGAAAAACCAACAAGACATGGAGTAGCAAATTCGTGTCCTTATAGACGAAATGTTCAATTGCTTTCTTATTCGAAATGCAAACTGCGACAAAGAAGCGGGAGAAGCACTTTCTAATGTGGTCCAGATTAGAACTTCATCTCAGTACAGTAAGAAACCATGTATCTTGTGGGTTACTATTTACAAACACTGTTTTTGTTATGGGCGGCTAGCACAGTGGCTGTGGTGCCGATCATCATCACGAGCACTGTGCTGGTTCGATCTCGCTCCCGGGTTACCAAGAGTATCATCTTTTCGTGTCGCGAATTGGTACCGGATTTGTCTGAGAAAAGCCTATTCTCTGCCATCTAAGTGGGAACGTTCTAATCCGGTTATCTCAGAACTCAGAATTGATTCGGCCAGCATACAGTGGCATTCTTGGTGAAAGGAAAATCCTCAAGCAGTGGCTGAAGTCACGCTTAAAAATATGAAAAACCTCGGTAAATGATGGTTACCGGGAAACAAGATTAATGCCAGAAGTGCTGGGATCCACACAGTAGATATAAAAGACGACTCCAATAAAAGAATTGTTTTACCTCAATTACGTTCAGTTTGGGATGCTGGTTTTTTGATGAAGCTGATGAAGGCAGATTCTGATTTTGCGCAAAATTTGTAGTAGTGAATGCTTTCGACGCGCACTAGGTATTCTATGTGACTGGTTCAGCGAATATTATGAAACGACCAGAAAAAAGTGCGGTTGCTTATTTTGAACATTGTATGATAAGGGCTGTGATAGTGAAGCGATACTTATGACTGCTCAGTGAAAGGGTTTGCTTTGTCCAGAGGAATACTGAGGATTATCATTCATCAACTATAAACCGTCTGTGACGGTTGGTTTTTGCTTTCTGTTTGAGTGTATTGGTAAGTTGTACAGTGCTTCACACATCTTGTCATCATTGACCATTCTGCAAATAGTGGCTACAAAGTATTAACTAAATTAGAGGGTTAAATGCTCAAAATGTGTGTTTTTATGGTTTTTAATCTCCTATTCTCTGTCTTTGTTAGTACATGGTCATCGATTTATAGTCTTTTTTGTTATTATTTGAAAGCATTTTTATATTCTTTCGTTTATTGAATTCTTTTTATTGGCTTACAACTGTAGCTGGTTTCGCAGCTTCGTCATAAGTTGGCAAATACAAATTCTGTTTTCAGATCGCCTTTGGCGCCAGTGGAATCGTCGGACGAGCTTTTCGCCAGTTACTCCTACTTTTATACTTTTGTCGCCGCGCGTGTGCGTGACCGCCGCTTCTGAGCGTTGCTGTCGCTGCTACACGCGTATTCTCAGCCGTACCATATCGCTTTCCGTCTTGTCGCGCGTCGCTAATCGCGTCGCGTCTCACTTAGTCGTCGCTGCGAAGTCGCTGCTGCCTCCGCCCCTACCGTGCATCTGGTCATCACCTGAAGAGATCGCGCGCCGACTCGGGTCAACCCTTCACATTCCACCCTAATTCGTCAAAATCTCTTCTCGGCCAGGTGAATTTCATTTGAAATGGACATGCCTTTTAAAAACGATTAACACACATTGTACTGAAAGTTTGTATTTTATGTGCGTTAGTTCCAAATTGTTCAGAATTTATATCACTACCCACGTGCCGCATGATAGAACGACATCGCTTGCCATCTGCTTCGTACCACTCTCCATTTGAAAACGAGTGCTGGTCTCGATGTCTTTTCGCTGAACAACTAGTGATGATCATTGACGACAACCGTGACGCAGCACAGATCGCTCGTCATGTTGCAAATAAGCAGGTGCGTTTTTTTTGATCCACTTTGATTATAAGATAGTGTTAATAGTTTATTTGGGTTCTAATTGTTACGAAGTGTTTTGGTTTATCTCATTTTCTGCTTTCATTCGGTTCATTTTTAGCCTGGTCCCGCTCCATTCTTCGTCATGGACATGCCTTCAGTGATGGCCCGTGTTGACGACTGGCAGCGTCATCTGTCACGCGTCCAAGCTTATTATGCTTTAGGTTGTAACGCGGATCCTGTTCTAGCACGAATCCTCGCTGACGTTGCTCGATTAGGATTTGCTGTTTCTGATACGCAGCAGTTAGTTACGGTGAGTGGTAAAACGATTTATAAGTGATTAAGACATATTTTTATATATATATATATACATGAATATATACATATATAAACATGTGTATGTTGACGTATATATAAATATATTTGTATGAACATATACATATGCGTAAAATAGACGTACAAATATATATGCACATATGTACATGTATACATAAAGAATAAAAGGATAAAGCTCTTGGTGTTGATCAATCCCTGAGGGATGTGCCATGCATTCGACTTCATTAAGCATGATTTGGAGGTGATTGAATGCATATCTGGCCTTTACAATGACTCGTGGTGGCCTACCGATGTATATAGCTATTGCTGCTATCCTCCCAGACAAGTCTGGTACCAATTTGCCGACTCCAGAGGGATGGAAAGCTTGGTGAGCCATGGGCGCGGAGATCGATTCCATGTGTGTGTCACAGTGGCGCCTCGAACCATTGCGCCACATGCGCCCGTTTCTTTAACTAGGTAGCTGAACAAACTTTTTTCACATTCCTTTGTTTTACCTCTATGCCAATAAAGTTCTCTTTTCGCAATGAGACAGCGGTCATTAGTAGGTGTTCACTAAGTTGTGTTATGAAATTAATAGTACGTAACTTGGGATTTGGTTTAAATTTCGAATTATTGCTGCGGGGATAAAATTTTCGGAGCGTTTACTTTTGACATCTTAGTTGTAAGTATGAGTCCTTGTGGAGAATTAAATTGCAGTCAATGTTAATTAATTGGTTAAGGCTATCGAGCTTGTCCCTGCGAACCGAGTCATTATGGACTGTCCTCTGTGGACTCGTAAAGCAATGAGAGTTGCTGGTGAATGTCATGTTGGAACAATTGTCATAGAAAACGAGAAAGAACTGATGGATGCTATTAGCTATGCTCCACATGCGCGGTAAGTTGTTAAAAGTGGTGTGTTTGTTTCAAGCTAATGTTCTGCACAAACTCGGGTTTTGTTAATAAAGAAGTATTTTAGCATATTACTCGCTATGTCACTAGCTGCACGCCGAAATAACAGCGATTCGCTCTGTACACGGAAAGGCGCCAGCATTGAGGAGCTTGAAGAAATAATAATAACGGCACTTGAACTCCGTGCAAATATCGTAGGAATTAGGTTGATTTTAAATTTCCGTCTCACTGGAATTTTGGTGATACCAAAGTCGTTGACAAGAAATAAGAATTTTAAAGAAAATGAGAGAAAACCGAAGACTTTATCCGTGCGTCATAGTATTGTGCCCATTTCTGAAGGTAGCGCAAAGATGTTATTAATTCTGCATGGTAGGAATATAGAATAGAACGTCAAATATAGTGATGCTGAGATATTTGCAAATCTCCAGACCGTAGATGTATGCGGTGAGGAGCGAACGTGCTCTTACCCTTTCAGGGACTAATGCGTTCGCCACCCCACCATACCGGTGTTTTGCCTCGCCTGCCTTTTAGCTAGGTTTCGATCTACCAGTACCACTAGCACTCACCTTTCAACGGGATTGCTCTGAGGGGTCCAAGTCGGCATTGAACCCAGTTAAGCCGAGGCTATAGTTAACTAGCCGAGAGACAAGCGAGATGGAGGACCCGCATGGCGTGGTGAACGCGTTACTCTCCGGAAAGGGTATTAACGCATTGGTTCCACACCTGTCACCTGCAGTCCGGAATTTTTCAAGTATCTCAGCATCATTATAGTTGTATTTCATATAATGCCCTGGCGTTATAAATGATGATGCAAATCAAATAAAAAAACATCGTATGATTGAAAGTTACCTTGCCTAGGCAGCGAGTTCTAAAATTCCAAGATGACATTTGTTTATTCAATAGTTTTGCACGGTTATTTGATATGTGTCAGTTTAGTTTTCATCTTGGTTCTACTACATCGGCGTGTGCTTTTTACAAGGCTCTCCATGAAGTCCGTTCATTGTTCTCATTCGCTTCTCAAATCGGCCTCGAATTTGATACCATAAATCTTGGTGGTGGATTTCCTGCTAGCAGTATTGATAAGGCTCAAAGATTTGCTGAGGTCAGTGTCACATAGTATGGTTCTTTTATAAGTAAGGATTCAGAGATGATAAAACAGAGTAAAACTTGAGAGTAAAAAATTTACATATGGAATGTTCTTCTTAGAATAGGAATTTCAGATGTGCGACGTCATCAACACTGGTCTAGACCAACTGTTCTCAAGTGGAGAATTTCCGCGGCTTAATGTGATTGCTACACCCGGAAGTTGAGTGCTTTTAAACGTCGTTTTCGATGGTCGTTATTTCCAATAGGATGAATGAAAATGGCTCCTAATTTTCCTGTATAACTGCAAATTGTGTTTTTCTTCACTTCGCCGTGCGTATTATTTTGGAGTAGGTCTTTCGAGTTTTAAATTTACTCTGATAGCCTGTAATATCTCAGCATTACGTATAATTGACATAGATAACTATACGTCCCTAACTATAAAGGGATTTGTTTTTATACATTATTTTAGGATCGTTCCCGAGTGGATCTAACCATGATTTGTTCTGTTTTTTTTACAATAATGTTCCATGGCCTTGTTTCCTGTTAGTTATTGAATGCTATGATTAGTGTATTATCCGTTGAAATGGTTGCTTTGAAGTCACCGCTGTAAATGAAAAATTTTAACTATGATCGTAAAGGTTTTGTCGATCATTTTATGAGTTTTAGGTATTTTGCGGCATCAGCATTTGTGTTGTGCACAAATGTGATTGGCAAGAAGGCACTTGAGGCACGTTATATTACCAAGGATGGTGAGTATTCGAACGTCGTTCTTTGAGTTTTCCTCGTTGGAGTTTTCTAAAATTGTTGTCTAGATTTCGATGATGGTGTTGGCTTCGTGTACCAAACGAACGACAGCGTCTATGGGTCGTTTGGTTGTCTTCTAATGAATTCCCAGCCGGAGTGCATACCACTTGATGTAGGCTGTCATTATTTCATTTCGCTTCGAAGACTGGAGATAGTTGTTCTTGGTTGCTATGCGTTGTGGTAAATTTTAAGGCTAGGATTAACCGTAGTTTCCGATTATTTCTAACCACTTTACCATTTTTGTTATACGTCGATTTTAGGATGTTTCTGATGCACCACAGCACTTCGGCACCATTCTCGGTGCTTCACTACAACCGGGTGACGTTGCTCAGTCACTGATACGCTGTCGCCAACTATGCGTGGGCGATTGGCTGCTGTGGAGAGATGCAGGGGCGTATACCATGCCGCTCAATGGGGAATATGCTGTACCGCCGGTTTATTATTTTGCTGGGACCGATAAGTGGTGAGTGGCATGTCAGACCAGTGCTATGAGTAATTTAGAATTTGTTGCTTTCGCAGATAGAAGTAGGGAGAAAAAGATCGGTTAAAGTAGTGGTAAATTTGAAGTACTGTGTGGTATTTTCCTTCAGGAAGCGTATCATCGAGCTGAGCAAGATCGGATGTGACAGTCATGTTGGTAACAGTGATTCAGATGCGATGGATACGGCGTCAGACGGAGCGAGTGACGTGGAAAGCTTAGACGAATATGACAATGAGGATTTGACAGAATGTTTCGATCGTGTGTTCTTATATTCACAGTGACTTCTCACATTTCCCCAGGTGGTTTCACCACACTTCAAATTGACTGGTTTGTCACTTGTGGTACAACGCTTTGAAAGAAGTGCTATCTGTTTTCATCTCTGCTGATCGGATAACATTTGCCTCTACTCTGTCTCCTTTCCTTTTCATCATATCTCCCTTTCTTTCGTCTTTGTTTCCTTTCTATCATTTTCTTCCTTCTATGTCAAATAATTATTTTGTATCCTTGTATTCCTTTTTCTGTCCCTGTTGAATTGAAATGGATTATGAGGCTGTTTTCCGTTCTCTCTCTCTTCCACTAATGATTCACTCATGTCTAACTCTTCCCTGGACATGTCTAGCCCGTGCACTTTGAAATTATTTTGTGTTCCTTTTTAAGCAAACAAGTTCTTTGCTTTCGCTTCGAATTCCTGACTTTGTGATATTGGTGAATGTCCTCTGAAGATGATTTCCTTAGCGTCAGGATACCCTCTCTTTGCTACTATCCATCTGACAACCTTCTTTCTGAAAAGCACTATTTTTTAGAATTTCGCTCTGCTAGTCTCACTTCATTCTATTTCCTAGTATGCATATTGTATGGACTTCTGATGTGCTTCGAATGGCGTTGAAGCAGCACATTTTTGTGCTAAATGTTGATAAGAAAGATAGTACTAGATGAACACAGTACATTGTTGCACAAGCAAACTGGTGGGAGTTTACAAGCATTTCTACGTTTTGTCTGGAGAATGTAGGAATGGTCTAAGGTCATGTTCAAATTTGCATGTCAAAAAAGTCAGTGTTTCTCGGGGCGTTTTGTGTAATGTGGGACGTGGGTGGAGAACGAAAAAAAAGTGCTCAAGCTGTCTCGACATATTGGTGGTATGCACAGATTGGGAGATCTAATTGGTTAAATGTCGGGGGCTGTGTTAAATTTTGGGCGATAACAAAGCAGCAAGTGTGAAGCTTTTCTGCTCTTGCTGTACTGAATATTTAGGATATCTGTATCCTCGATACCACCAGTGAAGAACAGTAAGTCATTTGGCATGTCATTGGAGATTCCAAGAATTGAATTGTGAAGGCATTTTCGAGAGTTGTGGTCTGTTTTGGTGCCAAGTAGGCTTCGAAATGCTTCCATCAAGGTGGAGCTTCCAACCTTATTGTGATCGATGGGGTCAAATAGAACCATAACTGCGTACATCCTCAATAAATTTTACGCCGCTACCTCGCTTTCCAAGAAGAACACTATTATCTTATAGAATTGTAAAAGTGATGATGAATTGATTCTTCATGACAAGGACGACAAGTATCAGTTCGGGAGAAGTCAAGGGCTATTCCAACCTTATAATGCGTGCTGAGAAAGCCGTAACTGAACAGTCGTCTTCTCAGTACTCTTACTAGTATCAAATGGAGAAAGTGAACGAAAAATGAAAAGAAAAAAGAATCAGCCTTTGGTCAGCTATATGGGTCACTGATTGGTGAGCAGTAGCGACCGTTCATAGGATTGCAGAGCAAGAACTGAGTAAGCTGAAAGGTTTAGCTATCCGGGTCATCCACTTCAATAGCGTCGCTTAAAAATCGTTGAAAAAATGTTTCACTTATCAGATACTGGAAACATTTCTCAAGAAAAAGTGTATTAATTAACTCAAAAATGTCATTCAGGAGTTTAGTATTAAAGGTCGAGGAATTCCGGCATTTGGTCTGATCACGATGAGTTAGCTTTCATCATGAAGGGAAAAGTTACACGACTTAGAATTTTATTTTTCTAGTAAAAACGTTGCTTTTTATCTGAGTTATGGTGCTATTTACAAAGCCCATCGACGAAATCCGGTCGGATTTTCTGAAACATCTAGTACGGTGCTTATTTGAATGCATCGATGGCTCGTTTTCAAATGTGTCGTTCCCGGTACTTCCATTCGTCGTCTTCGGCCGGCATCCATAAAGGTGGCTGGGTTGGCTGTAGACGTTTTCGAATAGGTTAATTTGAACGTTCGATAAGTGGAAACCAGTTTTCTTTCGGTTTCTCTCGTTTAAACTTAATCTAATCAGATTCTTAACTCTTTTATTTACTGCCTTTTTCTTCTTAATGGCAGGGTATGTTGTGAAATATAACTCGTATGAAGTGCTGAGATATTTGCAAAACTCCGGACCACGGGTGTATGCAGTGGGGAACGAACACGCTCTGTTGTCCTTACCGGGGAGCAGCGCACTTCACCACTACACCATCCGGGTCTAATCAGATTGTTCATTCAATAACTTAAAACATTCATCCGTGTGCAAATGGCAAAAGAATCATCTATAAATCTTCTGTAGACTAAAGGCCTGAGATCGATTACTGATGTTTCCACCCTAGAGATAAGTGCGATGGTAAGGCTTGGTGTCAGTCGCTATCCCATTCCCAATCCTCTCATTTGTGAGTGATAGTTTTCCGGAACATTTGAATAGTAAGTTGTTTTAAGCACTCTTTTATGAACACCATCTACTTCTGAATCGCGAAGTTATATATGTTTATTGCTCCTTCGTGGTCCATAAGGAGTTCGAGGATGGCTTACAAAGAGCAGTCATTCGACACGTTTGTACAAATGGCAGCGTTTTTTCTGTTTTGGTTTTGGAGATGTTTGGCTGAGTAGATTGCAGTTAACTTGATCTTTCCAGATTCTGAAGAAGGCGATATCCGCCGAAACGTCACCTGCTGCAAATAAATACTATACAGTAACAATTTGATATGTGGTAATCAAGACAATAGCGAGTTCTTCACCAATGCCGAGTTTAATAGAAAGTGGGTCATAGGACTTTATATGTAATGGTCTTCGTTACTCGATTATTTTAATATTTTCCTATGTTACATGCTTATTATATGTACAATATTATGCCCTAAAATGACCCGTCATATTTGAAAAATGAAGCGCACGACAGCTTAGGAGTGCGAATAGCGCAGTGGCTAGAGGTGCCCGCCAATCCACATGGGTTCGATCCTACGGCGGCTCACCTAGCCTTCCATCCTTCCTAGGTCCGAAAATTGGTGTCATACCTGTCTACGAGAATAATAGCTCTGGTTCGATAGATCGGCTGGCAACCACAAACCATTTATAGGTCAGATATGCTTTCAGTCACCTTTAACGATGCCTGCCGTGGTCGAATTCAGGCCTCATTTCTCTGCGATTGATCAACTCCAAGTGCTTTATCTTCTTTACCCTTTTTGTGATAGTTTAGTTTCACAAATCGGTGATTAGCCTTTGATATTGGGGTACACAACAACTTTGTCAGAGCGAATTATGGCAGATCAATTTCGGATTAGCGATGTTGAGCAACGTGTAATGATACTGAATCAACAGAAATGATTTCAAATTGCTACTATTGTAGAGAAAATTTTGAGGGTACGATGAAAACCATCTATTTTGAAAAAGTGTGAGTGCCTTTAATGATGCTGAGATATTTGCAAAGCTCCGGACCGCAGGTGTCTGCGGTGGGGAACGAACGCACTGCTGTCCTTTCCGGGGAGTAACGCGTTCACCACCACACCATGCGCGTCCTTCGTTCTGCCTGGCTCTTAGCTACTTCTATCGATCTTTTGCCATCAGCAATCACCCGTCGGTGGGATTGATCTGGGGAGTCCAAATCGGCAGCGAACCCAGTTAAGCTGAGGCTGCAGTTATAATCAGATGAAAAAAAGATGTGAACATCGTTCTTTTTGACAGCCACAACCATCAGCCATCAATTTGCCAATCCTGCGAGATTTATTGAACAACTCTCGCTGTCGAACCTAGCGTGTCCAATTTTTACGGTCACGGTTTACACCACTTTGTCTGAATATAAGGTTCCTCTCAAGTATTTGATGAAGGGACAGTATTGAAACGACAATAATACGTAGTTTTCCACTTATGACCACTAGGATGCTGAGGTTTGAGCAGGACTGGGAAGGAATGGAAGTCAAAACATTATGATTTCCTCAACTTATGTTCCCCTCCACCATAGACGACGATTGCAGGGAAAGAAAAGAATGGCAAATGTGCTGTACCCGCACATATCGTGAGGACGGACCATCCAAGCATCCAAGTATGTTCTCTTCATTCAGTCTTAACTAGAGTGTCATCTCCTCGCATGCTGTCAGAAGTAGATGACCGACCAACGTGATTCTATTGGCTGCAACTATGCTCCTTGAAACGAATTCCGTTTTTCGGGATAAAAATCACATGTCTGATAGTGTTGTCACTTATCGTTTAGTCAAAAGTCGTATGATGAAATTCTAGAAGGTCAAGGGGTCGTCGCTGTTTGATGGTCAAACCTCGTTCTTCCTAAATGGATCGCATTCCGATCTGAATTTTTTTCTCATACTCAACGAGGCAGTAGGAGCCATTCTGGCCCTTTTCAGAACTCATCTAATTCCTCATATTTTCAGTCAGTAAACAAAGAAAGCTTCAACGGGTCTTCTAAAAATTCAAATTTCGTTGTAATCCTTAATAAAGCGCCTTATTCAAAGGAGAATATTTGAGGAAAAGATCTATCTCTTCTAGTTTTGCTTATGCTTCAAAGCCAAAAATAGGCAAAACAATCTTTATTGTAGGCAAAACATTGGTTTTCAACAAGATTCATTCAAGTGAATTGGCGGTGCACATTACTGTTTATAGAAACTATTTTCAGTACCTTGACGACCATTTCAGTACATCTGCCTCATTCATCGTATGTGAGGGATGTGAGGGACGAACAAATAGTTAATACAAATTTCTGACAACCCACAACTTCAAGTATTCGGTACAAAGATTGGCCGTGTAGAACGTTGTATAGGACAAGTTCAATTGGCCAGTGCCCCACGTCCTCGTCCTTTTCGCCTTACCCCCTAGTTAAATATTTACATCTTCTAGCAACATCTGCAAAACCACTCAGTCACTGCATAACAAAGCGAAAAAGCTGTTTTGTATATTTAAATTAGCAATGGGCTTTATATATCCTCGTGCTGCACTGGCTGAGACTAGAAGACATTACCAGTTTAATGCTGTCTATGCACCGGAGAAGAATTGTTCTTCGGA